TACACCAATCAGTACCCTCTCTGTTTCCCCTTTCAGGAATCCTATGTGATATATGAGGATGAGCTTAGGCTGGTCGGGGAGCTGATCACAGTTATTGGAGCTGTAGTGATATTGATCCTGGAGGTAAGGGCAACAGTCTGAACCACACAGCCCTGTATTCTAATCAAGAGAACTCTTATTAAGCTAAGTAGAGACTGGCATGTGTTGGCCACTCTGTACCTCAGTGCCTCCGTCTGATCCCATAGTGCCTCCGCTGTGCTACCAGAAGAGCCATCTCTCAAACTGAGTTTGTGACCATTTATCACTAAGGTTTTCAGGCACGTTATAGAAATGTTAGGGTGTTGGCCCCCCATCTTGGCCAAATATATCTCCACCTGGGTCTGGAATGTTTGTGTAGTGCCCTGTGCTCCTAAACAGATTCCATGTTCCTGCCCAAATATGTCTGCTTTTCAGCACTGAATATCCACCACAATTGGAGATTAATTTTAAATTAGGATGGACAGAAAGATGGATGGCAAATTCACCACAGGCCCAAACCTGCTGCACAAACTCAGTCAAAACTCCCACTTAGATTGTGAGGCTTGAGCAATAGTAGAGTTTTAAGGGAAAAATTTTTAACGGCACAAGGCAAATTTAGGTGCCTAGCTCTTAATGACTTTCAATGAGAATTAGGTTCACTTTTGTGTCTGAAAATTTCCCCCTTAACTACTGCTATACTATCAGTGCATATTCTAGGTCAGTGGTCCCCAACCTTTTGAGGTTGTCGGGCGCTAGGGGGTGTGGCCGTTTGCCCGCCGGATGCCAGGGGGCGGGGACACTAGGGCGCCCGGGGGCGGGCCCCCCCTTGCTGCTCTCCCCCCCAGCTGCGCACCAGGGGGCAGGGCCCCCTCCAAGGGCCGCGCGCCCGGGGCCGGCGCTCCCCCCATGCGCCGCACACCCAGAGCGCGGGCGGCCAATCCGCGGCGCTCCCCGTGCACCATGCGCCCGGGGCCGGCTCTGGCACCGCGCATGTGCCATGTGCCTGGGGCCAGGCCAGCCCTGAGCACTTGGTGGGCACACACAAATGCCCCCGCGGGTGCCATGTTGGGGACCACTGCTGTGATGAACAGAACTCTTTGTAAATTGGGAATGATCATTCTGATCATTTCCTTGGGTTAACCCAACTGACCCTTAAACTTAACAGCGTGTTCCTCTTAGATTCCAGATATACTTCGAGTTGGAGCCACCAAGTATTTTGGACAAACCATCCTTGGAGGACCATTCCACGTCATTATGTGAGCCTCCACATTGCCAAATCTCATTAATAATTTGTCTCTCATTTTCTGTCTCACTTCTCTTTACCGTGTCATTATACCTGCCCTCTCCCCTTTTCTGGGTGTTGTTTCTCTTGGCTTTTTTCTCTTTCTAAATAGTATGTGTGCATGAAAGACACACACAGAGAAAGATACTTGGCAGCCTAGGAAGTGAGCAAGCACAGAGGAGCATAAAGATATATTGCCAATTTCCATCTACATGTGGGACAGAGTGTACCTGTTGGTGAATTGAAAGGAATGAAGGATGATGAGATTCCTATGCTGATCATTCTGGCTCTCCCTCTTCCTCTCACAGCATCACCTATGCCTGTATGATCCTGGTGACCATGGTGATGCGTCTTACCAGCACCACTGGAGAGGTGGTCCCCATGTCCTTCGCCCTGGTGCTGGGCTGGTGCAACGTCATGTACTTCGCACGAGGCTTTCAGATGCTGGGACCCTTCACCATCATGATTCAGAAGGTAAGGACAATAAAGTCTTGTTACACAGAGACTGATCCCACTACACATGTCCACACAGGGGAAATCAGAAGAACAGACTTCCTCTAAACGTATCTGTATTATATCATGGGAATGAAGCCTTTTCTGTAACAGGAATAACTCAGGTCTTGTCAGTAGGGGCAAGATGCATGCCTTTTCCACTGGACAGAGGTGTTAGCCATAAGGATTTTCTGATGCTCTTTTCTTAACGTCAGACATATTTCGTATTGAACACTGAGAAGGGGAAAAGGTCCTTGGGTTAGTGGGAAAGTCAGGATTCATGGAGCCTATCCTTGTCTCTTTACTCTGCAGATGATATTTGGAGACCTCATGCGCTTCTGTTGGCTCATGGCAGTGGTGATACTTGGCTTTTCATCAGGTGAGATCATACACCAGGTTATGTAACATCTTCTGCTTCTCCATGTCTCATCTGGGTAATTCAGCCTAGCATCAGCTTGCCCTCTCTGAGTGAGCCAGCTAGGGTTATGACAACACATGGCTTCCATTTCTACTCCTGAGAGAATTCTGTGCCACTAGTCCTGTGCAAAATTAACGTCCAACATCAAATTCTTTACTTTCCTTCAGAAAAATGACTTTCTGATGGGGAAGCATAGGGAAAATGCAAGAGTGGCCATGAGTCCCTCCCTAGTAGTACAGGCACATTGTTTTGGGTGCCCAGAGCAGCCAGTGGTAAGATAAATCATTGTGGGGGCCTTGGGGCTGGAAACACTCAAGTGAATGCCAGGTCATACTCCTTCCCAACTCCCATGCATCCATATTCAGACCCCCCCAAACCTTCACCCCCTGCATCTGGAGCCCCCCTGTTTCCTGTGCTTAGACCCGCCCCATTGATCACCACCCTCCCACACCTGGCAGTTGGGACACCCCAACCTGTTACTCCTAGCCTGCTAGTCCCAGCTGGGCTGGGGTGGGGGGAGGAGACTATTCCCCTTGCATGGAGCAGCCAGTCCCAGAGACCCATTCCAAGAAACATCCCACAGCCCTGCTCCCCCACCCACTTCCTGCTCCCATCACTCCTCAGCCACCAGGGAATGGCTCTTTGCAAGGAGAGCAGCTTCCTCATCCATCCCACACTTATGCATTCAGCCCCACCCAAACCCAGACCTCCCTGCTGAGCCTCAACCTGAAACCCGGAGCCCGTCCCTGTGAAGCCTCTGCACCCACCTCCCCACCCTGCCAACTGTCACTGCCTCTCACTCCACACCAAGCCCAAACTCCCCCTGTGAAGTCCCTCCTCCTTGCAAACCCCCAAACCCAAATCAAACCTCACTGACCCCCACACCTGGTGTTCCTCTGCCACGCCCCATCCACCCACATCTGGACCCTCCCTGCTGAGCCCCACCCTATGCATCCAGACTACCACCCATGCACCCAGGCCACCCTCTGCTGGGCATCCCACATTCAAACTCCCTCCCCGCTGGACCTCCCTCCACCTATACCCCCACCCCACTGAGCTCCAGTAAGCTGCACCTGGATCCCTGCCCCACCAAGCTGCACTTCCCCAGCACCCATGCCCCTGCTGAGCTCCAACCAACCATCTTCACCTGGTGCCCCTGCACTTGGAACCCCACTCCCCATGAGCTCCTGTGCATCTAGATCTCTGCACATCCAGACTGCCCCAAAGAGAGCCCTCTCACCCCACACCTCGATCTCCTCATACTAAGCCCCTCCACACTTGGATCCTGCTGGGCTGAGCCAGCCTCCTCCACATGTGCTTGTTGCAGAGAGGGAGGACCTCCCGGTGTTTCTGGGGCAGACCCAGCCCTTGCACTTTGTCAAGATCAGGTTCAGCCTCACCACTAAGTCCATGCCCTAGAACTGGCTTCCCACTGCCAGTCTGGAGACTCCACATTTATTTGTTCACAAATAAAATTTACAGAATTTTAAAGTACCCTGCACAGAATTTTTCATTTTGGAGGTCAGACTTTCCTCAGGAATGTATTTATGTGGAAATGATGCTATAACTTTCCCCAGCAGGGCCTTCTGCTATGTCACAGCTTGTTTATCATTAATTACTTGTAACATTGTAATGCCCAAAGGTCCCAGCCAGGAATTAGCTCCCATCATGCATACACAGATAGACACCAAGAATCCCCATTCTGATTCCATCCCTCAGATTTTCTGTTGCTGACAACAGGACATTATTCCTATTGTAACTTTCTCTTCCTTCCCTTGTGCCCTTCCAGCCTTTTATATCATCTTCCAGACAGAGGACCCCGCAGAGCTGGGCCAGTTCTACAGCTATCCTATGTCTCTGTTCACTACCTTCGAGCTCTTCCTCACCATCATTGATGGGCCTGCCAACTACAGCGTGGACCTGCCCTTCATGTACAGTGTGGTGTACTTTGCCTTTGCTGTCATCGCCACCCTGCTCATGCTCAACCTCCTCATTGCCATGATGGGTGACACCCACTGGCGCGTGGCCCATGAGCGGGACGAGCTTTGGAGAGCGCAGGTGAGGGCTGTGTCATATTAGGTCAGGCAATGGGGAAAACTTTCCACCTCAGAATGAGGAGAGTTGGCCTGGTGGAATTTCTGACAGGTGTAGTTACTCCCACCTTCAGTGTGAAGAACCATCGACTGAGTCTCCCATTTATTTCAAGATGTAGTTTAACCCATCCCCAGCTCAGTATGTCTGCTTTGGTGTCTGTCTGTCTCCTGTCTCATTCCCTCTGCTTATCAAGCACCATCTTTTAAATCATTTCACATAGCTTGGGCACTCTCAATGCCCCCTCTGCGGCTCCTGATATCGGGACCAGTCTTTCCATCTCTTTGTGCCCTGCCCACAACTCCACATTATTTCAAACCACAACTCAGAAACCTCTTTGTCCCCTCTTGTCCATCCCAGTCCTTTTATATTCCTCACTCACTGACAATCCTCATAGAGTCATAGATCCCAAGGCCAGAAGGGATCCGCTAGTCTGATCACTTGTAGATGTCCATAAAACTACCCCCAAAATAATTTCTAAATCAGTTCCTTTAGAAAAAAAATTCAATCTTCATTTAAAAATTGTGAGTGATGAAGAATCCACTATGCCCCTTGGCAAATCATTACAATGGTTAATTACTCTCCCCATTTGAATTTGTTTCACTTCAAATTCCAGCCATCAATACATGTTAGACCTTTCTCTGCTGCCTCCTGCCTTTCCATGAGAGACCAGGAAGTGTAAGTTCCTGATAACAACTGGCCACTCCCCCAGCTCATGACTGTAATGTTTTTATAAGCACATTGTCATCTCCTATAGCCTGTTCACTGATTGGCTTATTCCCTGCTACCATGTGTAAGGGGGAAGAACATGCTGTTTTCCATTGTTTGAAGATGGTCTATGGTTTGCTCAACCCCTAATCAAATTAATGCAAAAATACTAAGTGACCCTTCATAGACAGGATAGAAATGTTGCCTCTCTTTCCTTCAATGCCTCTAAACTTTTGCTCATGGAGGTATCAACGATTTTCAAAGTGAGGTTTTTCAGAATAGTGCTTTGGATTTTTTTCTCTTACTTTCCCTTCTCTCTATTTGGGAAGGTTGTTGCCACTACTGTCATGCTGGAACGGAAACTCCCACGATGCCTTTGGCCTCGTTCTGGGATTTGTGGACAGGAGTATGGACTGGGGGACCGGTGGTACCTCAGGTGAGTCCCCTTCTTCGGCATGTCCTTTGTTGATATCCATGCATATGCCTGTGTGTACGTACTAGAATTGGTCAGAAAATGGAATTTCTGTTCTGTGAACAGTTTCACAATTAAAAAAAAAAAGTTCATACTGAATCAGGACTAAAACCCAAAAGTTTAACATTTTTCAAACTTTCAAGTTTGAAATTTAAAAAATTGTTCATCTCAGGTCAATTGAAATAATTTGCTTTGATAAATTAGAAATGTTTTGCTTAAATTTAGATCCTTTATATTAGTTTATATAACATACAATACATTTCAAAACAAAAAGTAATTTGAACATGAAAAATTGAAACTTTTCGTCCCAAGAATGTCAAAATGGGACACTTAGACATGATCACAAAAACAGAGTTCCATTTTTTTTTCAAAATACGTTGTTGAAATCAATGGGATTTTGCAAAAATATAATTTTAATCATAACAGATTTTCCAGTGAAAATCCGGCTTAACTAAATTTTTCTGGCCAGCTGTAGCACACAGAATTGCACAGATTAGAGGCAATTCAAGTGCCACTTCATGTGAAATGAGTTGCTGTGTTCAGTCCAGCTCTTCATAGATAGATGTTCATATTCCAGAAGCCATGCTCCTACCTGCAATCGTAACAGAGAGGCCAAGGCCCTGTGTTGTCTGTTTACTCCACATACCAAATATGAGGAGCATTTGGTTGATTGTTTCATTTAACTAGGGAAGCTTATTCCTGTACATTTGGTAAGCAAAAGGCTTCAGTCTCTAGGACTGTCAACCTGATAGCATTTACCAGCACTGAAACCCACTTCAGATATTTCCAAAACAGGAAAGGAATATGGGAAGGCAGCATTTGGACAGAACCCTAGGGTCTAACATGAGCCCCACAGTGTCAAGTTACTATGTTTTGTGTTTCTGAAGCAGAATGTATCCAGCAGAGAGTAGTCCCAAGCCACAAAATTTGGACCAAATTCCAACAACCACCCTGAAAGTTTGAAGTTGTTTAGATCCAGGATTTTGGTTTTTAGTCCTTGGTTTTATTTCTTTTGGTCTGGATAACATCAAGCCTGATTCTCCTCTCACTTATGCTGGCTTTACTCCTGATTCTTACTACTGTGATAGGAGAATAAGACCTGTGTATGGATTTATCCTTTCACATGTCTGCGTTTTGTGGATCAGACCCCAAGGGGGAGCTGTTATGCTATGCAATAGGGGCTCTCCGCTGCTTTCAGCAATAGGGGAGGTTTGTGGATTTCAAGCCAGCTGGAGGCAATGATCAGCTAGCTATACAGTGTCACTGAGGGGGAATAACTTCCAGATGAGAGTGCTGTATAAAACCACACACACTTCATCCCACATTGGGCATGATGGGAGAATGGTTGTGACACAATGCAATTGTGCACAAAGTCCTATCATGTACCTGTTACCAGAATAATATTACAGGCACAGAGTTACCTGTTAGCAGACCACTACCCTGAGAGAGAGGGTAGCAGGCTAAACAGAGAAGAAGGCTTCTTGGGTGAAATAAAGGAGGGGAAGTGGATCAGAAGGGTCAGGGTAAGCTTCAGGTGGAAAGCACAGCGTAAGGAGAAGAATGTCTTTCCCAAGGTCTCTACAGTGGAGAATTACAGGGAAAGGCAGATGATCCAAGATCAGAATAGACGAATAAGAAATTGGGAAGAGGAAATAGATCCATGGTCAAGTGGAGCAGGTCCACCAAGAATTTGCAGTTGGTCAAATGGAAAGTAGAAGGTGTGGTTAAGAAATCAATGAAAGGAGCAGAGAACTGGGGAGGAGGTAGGAAATGATGCCCCAGAGCAGTGAAGGTTTTGGGATGGTGAGAGCATGATAGAAGCCAATGGTGGTGGTTCTGAGAGAGAGAGAGAGTTCATTTTCAGAAGGAAACTAAAGGAGCTCTGCTTGTGACTAGTTCCCACATGGATGTGCTAAGTCAGGCATGTCCAAAGTCCGGCCCGCGGGCCAATTGCGGCCCGTGTTCCGATTTAATACGGCCCCCGCTTCCTCCCCCTCTCCTGGCTCCCCGGCGCTCTTTTGAACTGGCGCACCCAGTGCGCCGCTTCCGGCCGCGCCGCCGCCGCCCATGGTCTCCGCGGTCCTAGAGCCTGCCCTGTAGGGCGTGTCCGCAGCCCCGCTCCCCCGCTCGGCTGCGGGTTCACCCTGCCCCCGGGCCGCCGTGAGGCCGGCGTGCCCTGCGCTCTCCGCCCGCCTCCGACCCGGCCCTCACGCATGTTCACTTCTTCAAATCTGGCCCTCTTTGAAAAAAGTTTGGACACCCCTGCTAAGGTGACTTGTATAGGATCACATAGGAATTGCAAGTCAATGGCAGAAAAATGAAATAAGAAATGGACAGGGTTATCAGTTTTTTTCTGAAGCTTAAAAAGTTTAGCATAGCTTCACTTTGGTTTTCATTTCAGTTCCAGGTTAGGATCTGTCCTAGTTACTAGTTTTCCAATTCCTGTTAGAAATCTACTTTGACAGCGAAAGATCAGGTGAATTTACCTTAAAGACCACTGCTAACAGATGCACAGGTTTGCTTTTCAAGTCAACTTTTCCTCCTGAATTCAGTTCTTCCTTCAATTCCTTGCGTGCTTCCCCCGCCGCCTCCCGCCGAGTGCCGCGCGCCCGGCGCTCCCCCCGCAAGCGCCCATGCGCCATGTGCCCGGGGCCAGGCCAGCCCCGAGCACCTGGCGGGCACATTGAAATGCCCCTGCGGGCGCCATGGTGCCCGCGGGCACCGTGTTGGGGACCACGGCCTTAGCTGGATGTGGTGTTGGTAGAGAACATCATGGGTACATCTATACTGCACCCTTCTTCCACAAAAGCTTATGCAAATGAAGCACGGAGTAGAATATCGCTGTGTTTCATTTGCATAATTAATTAGGGGCCATTTTGGGGCAAGAGACTTTTGCACAAAAAGGAGCTGTGTAGACATTCCTCATTTTTTCAGGAAGAATGGCTCTTGTGCAAGGGAGTGGTTTTGTGCAAAAACTGCTCCTAATTAATTATGCAAATAAAGTGTGACGATATTCTACTCCACGCTTCATTTGCATAAGGTTTTGAGGAAGAAGGGTGCAGTGTAGACACAGCCATTGGTGGCACTACTAGTAATTGTTGAGAAGACAGTATGTTTCTGGTGTATTCAATTTCTTCTCACCTTTCTATAGGGTAGAAGACAGGGTTGATCCCAACAAGCACAAGATGCATCGTTACACTGAAGCATTTAAGACCCAGGATAAGGAAGACTTTGACAAATGCTCCGAGAAGCTGGATGAGGAGAACCCCTGTAAGAAAGACCTAGCACCAGTTGCTCCTTCAGTGTCCCGGAGCATATCCCAGAGCAGTTCCCACCGTGGCTGGGAGATCTTGAGGCGTACCACCTTCAGACAACTTCAAGGAGAAGTCAACTATGCCATGGAAGAGGAAGAGGTCTACCATGTCTGAAACACATCCCCCTGACTCCACAACATGGATACCTGGTGCTGAAGTAATTACCTTCTCCAGGTGCCAGTGGAAACTCCGGTATAGCCACCGTGCTCCACAGCTGTTAAGAGCTCTCCGAGAACAGGAATGCTCCTTGCTGTAGGATGGACACCACTGCCCTGTCTCCTCTTCCATGTGTCCTTGCTGCTGTGTTGGCTAGGAGCTTAGTCAAGGGGTTTGGTGTTTGTTCAGCTCTCTAACTCTCTACAGAAACAGAAAAATATGCCAGCACTACAAACTGATCCTTTCTCGCTCTGTGGTAATGGTATTTTCCTTTTCTCGGTCCCACAAAGACCACAGTGCTTTCTGAACTGAGGAGAGCTGACTTGGGAGATTTTTTTTGGTACAGAACTGAAAACAAAATTTAAACTCAGGAAACTAGTAGCTGCTGACAATGCGGTGATTAAAGGGACTATCGCCATACAGCTGGCATTCTAGAGGCTGGCAGATGTTCCTCCTTCAAAAAAAGACGAACTCTGTTAGCAGCATTTTCCACACTGCTTCTCTAACAGGAACAGACTGTTTTTCCTGCCATTCGAATGCACTTTAATTTTGTTTGCTACAGAAATATGATTGTTGGTTTTATCCCAGTTACATATTACTTAAGGATAAGTCACACATATCTTTACTCTGGGAAATTTTCTGTGTTTTAAGAGGGTGTGAGGATTGGTGAGATGACTCCCTATGAAGATCCCAAATGAACTGATCCTGAGCCATGTTTCCTATGGAAAAGTAGAAGTCTCTGGCTCAGTCTGATATCTGCCTACCATCTCTTACCTTTGCTGTGTTGAGACTACAAGCTGTTTAGTCCCTGTCTTCATGGACATCAGTGCTGCAGCTGTGGGCCTGCTGTGGTGAAGCATGCCAATTCCAGATCACCCTGTGCTATGTCAGGGGAGGAGGAGTAGAAAGGGGCTATATAGCTGCTGACAAGCAAAAGGGGAACAAATGCTGGGGGAGACACAGTGGGAAGTATTGCAAGCCAACTTGGAAACAAGTCTTGTCTCGTAACAATGTACAATGAAGCCTGCTCCACAATGACTGTTTATTTCACCTATTTCTTTAGTCCTCTACCAAGGTCTTTCAGAAAAATGATTACAGGGAAGAAATTAGGTGCCTTTTTGGAGGGCCTCATGCCCTCTGCGACTTAGAGTGTCATCACAATAGCAGAACTAAGTGGAATGCAACTTGTAGCCTGACATTTCCGCTGTGAGAGTTTCTGTGTCTAAAGGGGACCCAAAAATGACTTGCTTACATTATACCCTACCATTGAAACAGGCCATCCTTTACCACGTCTTGGTATCCAGAACCAAAAAGTGAAGGACCAGAAACTAGTGGCTTTCTTATTAATGGTGTTGTTACCACACTTCACAGCAACTATGCTCTGCCTGGGACTACTGAAGACTTTAGTGCCGTATCCAGATGCCTGACCTTTGAAATTATGTGCATTTTTTTAAATGTACTATTTCCCCCTTACTCAACTATATGCTTGAGCCCTAAAGAGGGGATTTCCCCCCTTGGTTTAAGATGAATACTTATATTAGATACACTGTGATGAATTGAAGTAGTATGGGTTGGTCTTTTCATCTCTATACACCCAGCCCCTCCTGTTTAACCACAGGAATTTGCACTTTTGCACTAAATGTTAATTGAAATGGGAAATATGTGATTTTGCACATTTACCAAAACTGTGAATTGCTGCTGTAATTATAATGTAATGTCCTTAATCAATGGAGGAGAGAAGAAAAAGGGGTTGGTGAAGTTTTCCTTCATCTTTCCAAATCTATTCATGCTCTTTAACCAGTTGAAAACCTGACTGAGATACAATTAAGATGGAAGACCATGAGGTAATTTTCAACTAGTGATTCAGTGTTGTGATTCGCTCAATTTGCAAATCAAAAATTGGTTGTTCTAAGTGTCAGCAAAACATGCACCAGGGTTGAAAATTCAGCAGGGCATTTTCTGTCTCTGGTGTCATCATAATCACACTTTAAACTTTTAGTGCCGTATCTCTCTTCAGTTAGGCTGTACAATTTCATTAAATGCACTGCAAGTATGCAGGAGTAAATGAGAGCAGTGTTCCCTGTTAGCTGAGTGTTCGAGTGGTCACCCAGAAGAGATTCAAATGTTGCCTAGTGAATTAGCAGAGCTGGCAGCATGTGTTTCTGCTGGAGGTGCACATCCAACAAGTCTCAGTGCAATAACAAAATTTATTTCACACATGGATGGGAAAAATTAGAGGGAACATTGAATGAGAGTTAGTGCCAGTTGGTCGTGTGTGTTCATACAGACTCACTAGCAAAAACAGGTGTCCATGGGACAAGACAAGTAGGTTTAAAATCTTTGAATTCTTATTTCTGTTATATCCTGTTACATTCTGTGCATAAAATAGAGGTTAAAATGTAGATCAGTGTGACTGGCTCTGCTGTTTTTTACAATGACATTAGCTGGAGCTACTTGCCGCATCATATCATCCAATTCAGAATCTCCTTCGTCCTTTATTGTATTAGAAACTTGCAAACCAATACAGGAAAAATATAATATAGATGTCTGAGAAGCTTTTGTGAAATATAGAAAGGATACTATGAAGGCAAAAACATTAACAATATTTCCTTATGCATGTTACTAATGATAACAACATACAAAACTTTTGGAAATTTTAAAATCTAACTGACTTTTTGCCACTCCTGGGCTGTGTCTAGACTGGCATGATTTTCCGCAAATGCTTTTAACAGAAAAGTTTTTCCGTTAAAAGCATTTGTGGAAAAGAGCGTCTAGATTGGCACGGATGCTTTTGTGCAAAAGCACTTTTTGCGGAAAAGTGTCTGTGCCAATCTAGATGCGGTTTTGCGCAAGAAAGCCCCGATCGCCATTTTCGCCATCGGGGCTTTTTTGCGCAAAATGGTTCTCATCTGTCTACACTGGCTCTCTTGCGCAAAAGCATTTGCACAAAAGGGCTTTTTCCCGAACGGGAGAGTCATTGTATTTGCGGAAGAACACTGACAATCTTACATTAGATCGTCAGTGTTCTTGCGCAAATTCAAAGCGGCCAGTGTAGACAGCTGGCAAGTTTTTCCGCAAAAGCGGCCACTTTTGCGGAAAAACTTGCCAGTCTAGATGCAGCCCTGCTGTTTTACTGACTTTATTCTGCAGTTTACATGGATTGAATGGGAAGGCTTGACCTGCCAGCTTCATTCTGTCTCTTGTAACTTGGATAGTGCTTTTTGGGGTTTGGCATCCAGCAGAGCAAAGGAACATTCTCCTTTAAAAAAAAACAAACCCCAAATTATTTTCCTTTCGTGAAAATAGTTTGGTCCAAATTAGATTTTGAGATTTAGGTGAACTTTCTAAAATAACAATGGCTACGCTCCCAGTCTTGACAATTTAATTGGGGTTGCTTCTGCTTCGAACAGGGAGTTGGACTCAATAACCTACTGAGATCTCTTCCAGCCCTAATTTTCTGAGTCTAGTATTCTGTGATTTTGAGCCTTAGTAGTTTTATGATACAGCTAAGAAAGCAAGCATAAGATCCCAGTCAATCATCAGGTATGGGTGAATTTAAAATTAAAGATACTTTTCATTTTAAAAATGCATAATATCCTCAGTCCAGTTGTGTCCAGCTCTGGCCTCAGTGTTCAGTATTAGGAGAAATGCCTAAAACCAAAACTTACATAGAAGTTGATGGATCTTTGGCCATTCACAGCAGTAGGAATAACATTGGACCCCAACAGCTGGGCCGAGAGTATGTAAATGTTCCACTTTAGGGGCCAAGACATGCCATAAACTGAGCTCCCCCTGGAGGTTGGTAGTGCATTGAACTTATGTTCACATTAGTGCTTAGTTGAATGAAGCTGACATTCTTGCAATGACATCAAGTCTCTGGGCATACTCTGAACCATACATATCAAAGACTTCCATTAATTTTAATTGGCTTTGCATCAGGCCCTGAAAGAGGAGTCTAATCCAGTCAGGAGGATTTTGTATCAAATACAATTTTTAAATAATCTCATTTTATTTAACCAATTTGTATCTTAAACAGGGTTCTATCTACCTGTAATCTTTAAAAAATGTCCCTATGATCTGTTTTTCTGTACCGTCTTTTGTTTTCATTTAAAGTGTGATTTCACGGTGACACTCTACCAATGATATGCTGTGTTTGATGCTCTGTATTGCTGATTCAGTTTCCAGCCAAAAAGTTCTTCTAACTGGCGACTCTACAAACTACACATTGGTTTTGAAAATCCAGCTGTGTTTTTTCTATACCTTTCATAGAATCATAGAACCATAGAGCTGGAAGAGACCTCAGGAGGTCATCAAGTCCAGCCCTCTGCTCTGGGCAGGACCAATCCCAACTAAATCAACCCGGCCAGGGCTTTGTCAAGCCAAGACTTAAATACCTCTAGGGATGGAGACTCCACTACTTCCATCCCTAGAGGTATGGAACCCATTCCAGTGCTTCACCACCCTCCTAGTGAAATAGTTTTTCCTAATATTCAACCTGGACCTCTCCCACCACAACTTGAGATCATTGCTCCTTGTTCTGCCATCTGTCACTACTGAGAACAGCCTCTCTCCATCCTCTATGGAACCTCCCTTCAGGAAGTTGAAGGCTGCTATCAAATCCCCCCTCACTCTTCGCTTCTGCAGACTAAACAGACCCAAGTCCCTCAGCCTCTCCTCATAAGTCATATGCTCCAGCCCCGTAATCATTTTGGTTGCCCGCCGCTGGACCCTCTCCAATGCATCCACATCCTTTTTGTACTGGGGGGCCCAGAACTGGACACAATACTCCAGATGTGGCCTCACCAGAGCCGAATAAAGGGGAATAATGACATCTCTGGATCTGCTGGCAATGCTCCTCTTAATGCAACCTAGTATGCCATTAGCCTTCCTGGCTACATAGGGCACACTGTTGACTCATCTCCAGCTTCTCATCCACTGGAATCCCCAGGTCCTTTTCTGCAGAACTGCTACTTAGCCATTCAGTCCCCAGCCGGTAACATCTCTTGGGATTCTTCTGACCCAAGTGCAGGACTCTACACTTGTCCTTGTTGAACCTCATCAGATTTCTTGTGGCCCAATCCTCCAATTTGTCTAAGTCACTCTGGACTCTATCCCTGTCCTCAAGCGTATCTACCTCTCCCCCAGCTTAATGTCATCCGCAAACTTGCTGAGGGTGCAAATCCATCCCCTCATCTAGGTCATTAATAAAGATATTGAACAAAACCGGTCCTAGAACAGAACCTTGGGGCACTCCGCTAGAAACCGACTGCCATCCTGATACCATTCATAAAGTTTCCACAACCATAATTTTGCTAAGTGCTCTGTTGATGGTGAAACGAGGCAGGCTCCGTCTTCTATAATTTTATTGGCTCTATAGAAATAAAAACTTGTTTGGGTCAGGAAAGCCAGAAAATTTGATTCAGATCAAGGGTCAAATACATTGAGTAAGAATGTGCCTCATTAATACTAACATTTTTTGAACCACATTTGTACTGTATTCTCTTCTACCTCTGTAAAAATGGATTAACACTTACACTGTAAGTCGGCCCTATAACTCTTAAATGTGGCATTGATTGGAACAGGTGATAAATCTTACTATAATACTCAGTTTGTTTTTCTCCAGTGTTGTTGTCATTTCAGGGCAGAACTTCCTGTTTTCCCCCATCTGCCCAACTGTTGACCTCAATTTATCTTAAGTTGCCACTGAAGCAACTTCAGGGTTGTAAGAGCTTATCTTGTATCTGGCAAATTAGTAGGTCAGAAAATGGCTCCAAGATTAAATGAACTAATTTGTTCTGATATTGAAGAAAATAGAAGCTTTTTGTTCAAAATAAAAATACCTGTAAATTAAGTTTTCTTTGTTTGTTTGTTTAACCATAATAGCTTATGATGGTTCCTATGATTATCCCCATATCAGCCATTCATCAGTGACTGAGGGTACTAGACTTAACTAAAAACATATTTAAAATCTTAAGTACAGGCAGTCCCCAACTTATGCGGATCCGACTTATATCGGATCTGTAGTTACGAACGGGGCTTTTCTCGCCCCAGAAACAGACCAGGGAGACATGGAGCAAAGCCTCGGAGTACGCAGGCAGGGGGACCGCCCAGACGCGCCGCGGTTCCGCTGCCCGCATCCTCCGTGGCTTTGCTCCGCGTCTCCCTGGTCTGCCCCCCCCCCCCCCCACCCCCGGCTTTTTCTCC